CCCCAAAGTAAACAAGACAAAGGTTCAGCATCCTTGCCTCCAAAGAGCACTCTGGTTGCATCTTTTCCAAGACATAATTGTTCTTCTGGCAGTCCATGGGATATTCAGTGCTCTTCTCCAACACCACACTTTAAAGGCACCATTTTTTTCTTCTGTCATCCTTATTCATTATCCAGCTCTCAAATGCATAGCAACTGATTAAAAAGACCGTGGTCTGAATCAAGCCCACGTAGTCCTAAAACTAACATCATTGCTCCTCAGTAATTTGGAGAGGTCCCTAGCTGAAGACTTTCCCCAAGCAATACATGAGGATTTGATATATAATAATACATATATATTCCATATTGAAAACTATAGTCTTTGATCTTCTGCAGCAAGTGCCTCAGATCCCTTCCTCACTTTGTGCAAAGTTATGCTGTGTACATAATGCAGGTTGTTGATGAATCTGTCTCCAATCCTGGTGTCACATTCTTCTTTAGAGTTCAACTTTTCAAAGAACTTGATCATCATACATATTGAATAGATAGAAAGACTAGATACAATCCTGATGCACACCTTTCTTGATATTAAACCATATAGTATTCCCTTGGCCTGATCAGACAACAGCTTTTTGATCTAGGTATAGATTTTATGTAAACATAATTAAGTGATCAGGAACTCTTATTCTTCCAAATGTTGGCCATAGTTTTTTAAATGATCCACACAAATGCCTTTTCTTAATCAATAAAACACAGATGCCTGATATTCACTCCTTTCAGCCAGGATCCATCTGACATCAACAATGACATATCTGGTGCTTAAAGTTTTGGCGGTTCTCTATCTACGTACTATTTTAGATGTTTTGGGGTGATCTTCAGCAGTATTTTGCTTGCATGTTATATTACTGGTATTTTTTATAATATCCACATTGTGTTGGATCACTTTTCTTGGGAATAGGAACAAATATGGATCTTTTTTCATTAGTCTGCCAAGCAACTGTTCTCCAAATTTCCTGGTATAGACTACCAAGTATGTCCCAGCCTGCAGTTGTTAGCTGAAACATATTAACTGATGTTCCATTGATCCTGGGCCTTATATTTTGCCAATATCTTCACTTCTGCTTCAGCTTCTTTCTTCATTACTACTGATTCTTGTTCCTATAATACTTCCTGCAATTTTTTAGCATCAACTAGTTATTTTTTGATACAGTGACTCTGCGTATTCCTTCCATTTTCTATTGATATTTCCTAGATCATTCAAGATTTTACTCAAAGCAACTCGAGGCTTGAATTCATTTTACGGTACTCTCAACTTTAGAAACACCAAACAAATTCTTTTTTTAATTATCCTAATTCCATCTCTTTGCACATTCCATTCTAATTCTTTGCTTTGACTTCACAAGTTTAAATCTTCTGTTCATGTCTTTTACCTTGGCATATTTTCCATTTATTTTGGCTTCTCAATGTTCTAGTGAAATTTTCGGAGTCTCTTCTGACATCCATTTTGGTCTTTTCTTCTTTGTATTTGTAATGATCTTTTGCTCCCTTCAGAGATGATATCTTTGATGTCATCTGATGATGAAGGCATCTGATGACTTTTCTGGTCTTTTGTCATTAATGCTCAATGCCTCAAACCCATTCTGGAGATGAAAATTTTCACGACTGAATCAAGAGATTCCTCCCCCCCATCATTATAGATGGAGAAAAGATTGAAACTATCAATGATTTAATCTTACTTGAGTCCTCAATCAATTACTTTGGAACGAGCAGCCAAGAGATCAAAAGACATATTATATTGGGCACATCTGCAGTCAGAGAGTTTTCTAAACTACTAAGGAGTAATGACTATTGTCAGTTTAGAGACTAAGGTGTACCTTATTCAGGCCATGGTCTTTTCAATTACTTGGTATGCTGTGGAAAGCTAGACGTTGAATAAAGATGACAGAAGAACTGATACCTTTAAGTAATGATGTTGGAGAAGAGCACTGAATATCTCCTGGACAGCCAAAAGAACAAACAGGTACATCCTGGAAAAAGTACAGCCATACAGTTCCTTAGAGACAAGGATGGCGAAGCTTCAGCTTACATGTTTTTGATGTATTGGTAGGAGATTCTATTCCTTGCAAAGAAATATCATACTTGGAAAGGTAGAGGGTGAGAGAAAGATAGCAAGATCCTCAAAGAGATGAGCTGGTACAGTGACTGCAGCGATGGGCTAACATACATCAGAGAGACTGAGAATGGCATTGGATAGGACAGAGTTCATATCTATTACTCACAGGGTTGCTGTCTAAAAATGCTGATTTAGAAGAAAAAAAAAATAACCTCATTGCCTTTGAGTTAGAATAAACCCATAGCTGGCCCTCTAGGTATTTCCCCCCAGTCTGTACATTGTCTAGGAACAGATTTTCCATCTTTAGTCCAAGGAATTGCTGGTGGATTTGAACCTCCAATGGCCCTCTGCCATGGCATGGCCTTTAGGTTAGCAGTGCAGCTCCCTATGGACTAGGTCACCAGAACGCCTTAAAATATTGATATGTTTCTATTGATCTATATTTGTTGTTGTTGTGTACCATAGAATTGGAACTGACCCATAGCTGACCCTCTGGAGGGTTTTCAGAGGCAGTTAATCATACAGGCAGAGATTGCCCATTCTTTTCCCACAGAGCAGCTGGTGGTTTAGAACTGTATGCTGTTGGGATTGCAGTGCAGCTTCTTGCCGCTTTTTGTTAGATGCCATCAAGTGGACCACCATTCATTGCAACCCTATGAACAACAGATAGGAGCCTTGCCTTATCCTATGCAATCTTTATGATGTCTGTTATACCTGAGCCCATTGTTTCACTCACTGTTGTCAATATAATCCATATGCTGAGGGTCTTCTCTTTCTCTGACCCGTCTTTCCCAGTGTGATACCTTTTACTTAGTACTGGCCCCTCCTGAAAACATGGCCAAAGCACGTGAGACAGAGTTTTGTCATCCTTGCCTCTAAAGAGCACCCTATGTGTATCACCTCCAAGACAGACTCGTTCTTTTGGCATGTTCACAATCCTCAGCCCTCAAGATGTGTTAGTAATAACTGATGACTGGAATGCAAAAATGTTCCACTTCACTTCAATATCACCCTAGTCTAAGGCACTTACACCACTTCTAATTTTTATGTACCCTACCCTACTAGTCCCTAGTTACCTACTCTAATAATCTCTAATAAGAGAATAATAATCTCATACTCTAATACTCTAATAATTCTAGTTAGTCTCTGTTTTGCTTTTACTGCTCCTTTATCCATTTAGAACTTTGGTAGTCTGTAGAGAGTTGCACTACTAACCCAAAGGCCAGGCCTCTCTGTTGATTCAAATCCACAAGATAGACAATCTCTTCCTATGTGATTTACAACCTCCAAAATTGTCTGGAGGGTCACCTATAACCATCTCAGGAATAGATTTGAGGCCTTAAATACTAATGAGTGAAGACCAGGTGATCTGTGGGAGGATAGCAAGAATATTACACAAAAGAATGTAAAAGGTCATAGCAAAGACAGAGGAAGAAAAAGACATAGTAGAATGTTCTCCATAGTTTGAATAGAAAGTATCTTTGTCTAGAGAGAGGGCAAAGTAAGGGCTTTGCTTTGCCTGGATATGTATGTAAGTGCAATTATTATCTGTAGTGATTAATAATACATTTGTTGTAGGATGACTGTTCAGTTGCACCAGATGGACAATCAGAAGGATAGATTTGGGACAGAAAGAAATAATACATTGTATTTGTAGTTGTAGTTATGTGCTATTGAATCTTAACGTACAATTTACAAAAGATTTTCACATTTACTCATTTGAAAGTACTATAACAGCTTGTTGCATATTCTCAAAAGATCTAAAAGAACTTTCCAATGAACATTTCATTGTAGAGTTCAAGTTGCTTTTTTTTTAAAAAAAGACAAACAAAAAAAAACCCCACCAAAAACCACCAAGGTTAGTTGCACTGTTGCTGTTCTCCACTTAAGAAATATTACAGACTTCTTTCTTCCTTCCAGACTGAAAACCAGGCTTCGTGGTTTGTGGATTTTAAAATGCTAAGGCTCAGGAACTGTGATTTTCGAGTTTAAATAATGACATTGTGCCCGGAAGTTGGTTCCAAGTCCACATCCTTGTTTTGGCAGGCTATTTATGTGTGACCTCATTCTTAATCTGTAAAAGAGGCATAAACGATTTACTTCAGTATATCTATTATCACAATCGGCTTTTAAATTCCTTATGAGAAATGGAAAGCTCATTAATGACATCAGTTCATTAAGCATTGTTGCTATGATTCAAAAAGAACAGCTCCAAACTCTTCTTGCTCAATCTAATTTTTTTCCTACCTCTCCCTCCCTTTTTCTCTTGTCTTCCGATTTTCTTTACTTTTTTTTTTCTTTTTCTGAAATTAGAAGCAGGAAGAGAGTAGGAAGGTAAAATAAGGATTGGAAAAGGCGGAGAAAACCCAACAGACTGGTTAAGCATGTCTGTGACTCTCCTGCTTCCACCGCGACTCAGGTCTGCATTTCCAGCAGCAAAGAGGCTTCCAGCTCAGGATAGGATGCCCTGTCCAGAGCCAGGGCAGTCAAGGAAAGGGTTCCACTAACAAATTTTAATTATCAACTGGAGGCGCAGTTCCAGATTTCAGAGCAGACGCTTGCCCTCCTCTCAGCCTGATCAGGGACACCCTGAAGCCAGGCCCTAAGGCTCCCCACCCACCGGTCCCCACCCACCCTCCTTCGGTCACGAGGCCGGCGCGGGGGCGCGGCCTCCGATAGAGCGCGGGCGTGCGCTTGGCTGTCGCTGCGTCCTCCCGGCCCGCCGGAAGGAGCGGCGGCGCCACCGTCCTACCGCTTGTCCGTCACGCGGCCTCCCACCCCACCGCCGCTTCTGATTGGTAGCAGACCCTAGCCCCGCCCCTTCGTCCCCGCCCCCTGCGGATGGACAGGCCGAGAGGGCGGATTGGCGCCGGCCCCGCCCTTTGGCGGCCACGGGCGGGGCAGCCCAGCTGTCAGTTACGGGGGTGGCCCGGCGGGCGGGCAGGCGCTCGCTGACTCCCTGGCTAGCTCGCTCTCCCTCTCGCCTTCTGTGGGGACGTCGGGGCCGCCCTTTCGGCCGCCGCCACTTCGCTTCCACCTCTTGCCCTACTCCCCTTCCGGCCTAGTCTCTCCGCACGCGCACCCCCGATTAGAGTGACCCCGCGTGGGGGCCGGTGGGTCCGGAGAGTCACCGCGGCGGCGCCGGGTGGTGGTTAAACCATGTTTAGGAGGATTTTGCAGAGGGTAAGAGAGTGAAAGCGTCTTTCTCGCCGCACATGAGGCAGGAGGTGTTGAGCCGGTGGTGGCGGGTTCGCGGCGGGTCTGAGGGCTCTGCGGCCGCGCTCGGGAGCCGAGTCGGTGGCCCGGGCGCCCCTCCTCGGCGTGGCCTCTTCCCTGCTTTAGGCCCCGCAGCCCGGGAGGCGATGAGGCCTTGCTTGTGCCCTTCATTAGGGGCAGGGATGGCATGTGAAGTGGCGGCGGGGCGGAGGGCCGGGCCGCGAACCCTGCAACCGGCGCGCCAGGGCCGGGCTGCTCCGCGGGGCTGTCAGCGCGAGCGGGCTGGCGACCTGGAGGGTGTGGTGCCTGCGCCTTCCTCTCCCGATCGGAGAATGGGAATGAAAAGGGAGAGTTAGCGCTGGTAGGACCCGCCGGCCGCCTGGCCGTGGCAGACTGCGGCATCCGAACTGCCCTCCCAGGCTCCCGGCTCGCCGCGCCCCCCAACTTAGCGCGACACACACCTGTCATACACAGCTTAGGCTTCTCATCTGTGTGACAGGAAAGTAACGCAAAATCTAGCCTAGTGTGGGCCCAGTGGTGGCATTGACACTTAGTACTGGTGAAGTCAGCTGAGAAGGAAGGCATTACTCACTGTTGGAAACTTTTCCCTCCTCTCTCATTTAATTAAAAATGCGTTTCCTCCTCCAAGGCCGGTATCAGATTTTAACGATCCTAGAATGAATCTACAGTGCATTTTGTCAAATGCTGTGTGCACTTAGCTTGTCAGTTTCGACCGGTGCTAGGTCTGCTTGAAACCTTGGAACATTAGGAGATTAAAAAGCATTGGGAAGCTATAGGTGTACTGCCTGCTCTTCAAACGACATGATTAAAATATTTTGTCCTGTGGGAGCTGTTGGAACTCAAATTTTTGTTATAAATAGCTTTGGGTACTTTTGGGGACCATGAAAGCTTAAGCTTATATCAGCATGTAAATAACTGAGAAGTGATTGTTAACTCCATTATTTGGTTATGAAAGAGTAGCATAACTATTTGAAAGGACAGAGGAAATGAGTGATTTAGTCGAGCTCAACCAGGAGGGTACCAAAGGGGGCTTGAGTAGTCCTCTGTGTGAAAGAGCCCTGCTCTTTTTACTACTGCATACTTTTCCTGGCAATGCTAAGGGCATATGAAACCTGGTAGTGGGAGAGAAGTAGTTGACTCCTATCTCTTGACACTCTGTGTTGACATTTGATTACTGTTTGCAGTGGTTTTGTTAGAGTTTTGGAAATATTGATAAGCAGTGATTCTGGCAGTAGCAAAGCTTTAACTCTTCATCAATTCTTGTGTCCCACAGTAAATGTATCCGTGCACAATATATATGCAGAACTTAGAGATTTTTCTTTATTTGGTTTGTGGTTTGCTTTAAGGTTGATAAGGAAAACAAAGTTTGCTGATTTAGCACTAGCTTCTAGGTTGTTGTTAAGTGCTGTGGAGTCAGTCGTAAGCGACTCATAGTGACCCTATGAATGAAAGACCTGAACACTTGTATAACTTTCGTTTTTCCAAGTTCATGAAGTTTCTGGAGGCAAGCTCCTGCTTCCAAGCTTTTAATTGGGGAGCTCCACCAAATACTGTCCGCCATGGTAAACCATTACCACATTTGACATATCAGTGTCACAGAGTTCAGCATCATAGCAACCACGAGTTACCTCTGTACAGCAAACGGACAGACTAGGGCTTATACCACTTAGAAGAATGTTTGACCAAAAACAATTAAAACCAGGCTTATAGGCCGAGGATTAAAGTCACCCACCTTTGGCTTGGTAGCATCACTTTCTATCTACTAGGCCAGCAAAACTCTTTCTGTGTTGTTGTTAAGTGCTGTTGAGATGTAGACGACTCATAGCGACCCTAGTTTTCAAAAATGTGGTATATTTTTTAATACTCTTAGTTTAATATTGTTAAGCATTGCCAAACGCATGACTTCAAGTTGATTGTGACTCATGACAATCCTTCCTTGGTTTTCTGAAGCTGTAAATCTAAGTTAAGAGTGGACTACCTCATCTTTCTCCATTGATGTGGGTAGTGGATTGATGCTGCCAACATTTCAGGTTAGCAGTTGTATGTTGCAGACCAGAGGGTAAAGTAATTTATAATTATAAATAATGAGACAGCCAGCCAGGAATGAGATAGAGCAGAGAGCATGAAAAACAGGGAGCCAGCAGTTCTCTACTGAAGACCACTATTCCTGCTTCCTTGTATCTTTATTGAAAATTATCAGGAAGTAAATCACAAAGAGAGTTCAATGCAAATGAAGCCAAGCTCTTTCTATTCAAAACCTTCTGCTTTACTCAGGAGGAAGGGATAAGCAAATGCAAGAATCTGGTAAACCCTTAAGGATTGCCTTAGTGCCTCAGGGTGAACTCTAAGCTTGAATCCTCACATCCTGAAATAGCATTCAGTTTATTATAAATATTTAGTATTGGCTTCCTATAGTCTTACATGTAACCAAACCACATGCTTAATGCTCTTTCTTTTTAAATTAAAGATTTTTTACACCCCCCCCTTGCCTTAGATTTTTCTACACCCCCTCCTCACCTTGTTGCTCAGTTCACCCAACATTGCGTCCTTGTTCCTGATTGTTCTCATACATATAATGCACAATCATATATTCCTTTCAGACTGTTCTTCCCCTTATCTGTTCTAATGCAGTGTTCATTATATATCCACTCTTTCCCCATTCGCTCCCCAACTCCCCTGCCCCCCATGTCTGTCCTATTTTATAACAGCGACATTATGCAGTATTTGCCCTTTTGTGCCTGAGATATTTTCACATCGTATACTGTCCTCAAGGCTCCCCAAATGTTGTACGGTGTTTTACTATTTCATTGTTTTTCAGCGCTGCATAATATTGTATGAATTCAGGTGCCTCCTTGGCATACTGTGTAATTTTTAGGTGCTTGAAGATTGGATGAGCCTTGTTGTCAGCTTGTTGTTATTAAGTTCTGTTTACAACAGGACGAAATAATGCCTGGTGCTGTGCCACCCTTACAGTCATTGCTCTGAGCTTGTTGATGCAGCCACTATTTCAATTAATTTCTTTGGATATCTTCGTCTTTTTTGATGATCCTTTATATCAAACATGATCATTCTGCAGAAACTGATCCCTCTTGGTAATATATCCAAAACATAGGAGACAAAATCTCACCATCTTGACTTCTTAGGAGCTTTTAGATTGTATTTCTACCATTTTTTAGGGAGCCCATGGCATAATCCATAGTTTAAAGGCATCAGTTGGATTTGGTCTTATTCTTTGAACAACTGCCACATATATATAAGGTGGTTGAAAACACGAATACCCAAGTCAGGTACATCGTAGTCCTTGAAATGACATACTTTTTAACACATTAAAGAGGTCTTTTGTAGCATGTTTGCTCAATGTAACACGTGTTTTGATTTTTTGACTACTGCTTATGGATCTAAGTAAAGTGAAATCTTTGATGACTTAAATATTTTCTCCATGTATCATGATGTAGTTAATTTGGTCTGGTTGTAAAGATTTTTGTTTTCTTAAGGTATAGTCCATACTGAAGAGGGTAGTTTTGATTTCATCAGTAAGTGCTTCAAATAATTTTCACTTTCATTGGGCAAGATTGTGTTACTTGCATGTTACAAGTTGTTAATGAGTCCTCTTCCAACCCTGATGTCATATTCTTCTTCATATATTCCATCTTCTTTGATGATGTGCTCAGGATACAGATTAAATAATAACAGTTAAAGGATACAACCCAGACACATGCCTTTCCTGATTTTAAATCATGTTGTTGCTATTGTGTGTTGTCAAGTCGCCTGCAACTTATAGTGACCCTGTGTACAAGAGTTCTGAAGCCTGCCCTGGCCTGAGCCAGTCTCACTGACTCCCACATTCCTCCCTCATTGCTCCAGTTACTGTATCAATCCATCTCATCGGGGTCTTTCTCTGTCTCTCTGTCCCTCTGACCTTCCGAGCATGCTATCCTTCTCCAAGGACTGGTCTCTCCTGGCCACGTGCCCATACTATGTGAGATGGAGCTTCAGATTCCTAGCCTCTTAGGAGAAACTTGATTTCACCTTCTCCAAGACACTTCTTTTTGAATGACTGCCTCTTTATCATGGCAGATTTTACAAGAACATAGTAAGGGCTCTGGAATTTCCAGTTTGTCACAGTATTATTACCTGCAGTTTGCTATGGTCATTGTAGTTGAATGCCTTTGCATAGTCACTAAAACACAGTAATTATTCTGAAATTCTCTGCTTTTAAGACAAATCTAAGTGACATTAGTGAAGATATTTCTCATCCAGATCGTCTGGATCTAGCTTGAATTTCTGGCAGTTCTATTCTAATGTACTGCTGCGGCTGTTTTTGAATTAGCTTCAGCAGCATTTTACTTACATATGGTGTTGGTGATATTCCTAGGTGATTGTTGTGTTCTTTTGGATTGATTACTTTGGAATGGATCTCTTGCAGTCAGTTGACCAGGAAGCTGTCTTCTTGGTATAAATGAATGAGTACTTCTGTTTGCTAAAACATCTCAATTCCTAGAACCCTCTCCACTCTACTCACCTGCCATATACCCCATCCTTTTTTTGATCAATGCTTTCTTCCACTCAATCTTGATCATGCATGTCCTCCTAAAATGGTGTAGTGTTGTGCAGTTCTTTTAGGTGTGGTGACTGTGAATATTCTACCCATCTTCTTTTGATGTTATCAGTCAATATTTTGCTGGTAAAATCCTTCACTGTTCAGTCAGGTGGATTGACACAGCAATGTCACATGACTGCAGCAATGGACTTGAGTGTGTCTGAGATTGTTCATGGGCTCACTATGAGTTGCACTGGACTGATGGACCTAACAACAACAACAACAGTAACTATAACAATAACAACAACAGTGCAACTTGAGGTCTGAGTTTTTTCTTCAATCTTTTAAGTTTGATAAATGCTAAATGTAGTCTTCCTTTTTGCTTTTCTAATTCCAGGTCTTTGCA